TAGTGGGAAGGCAGAACAGATACAATAAACAGGGAAAAAAATAGATGGGAACAGGATGGCAAGAAAAGGGACTCAAAGATATCAAAAAGGCTTAAAAAAGCAATGATTAAGAGAACTAACTGACAGCCGCATAAGAAGGAACAACACAAAACACAGAGGGTGGAGGTAAGACAAGATAATCGGATCTTGCATTTAGATATTGGCAGGCCTTTCAAAATGAAATGGTCTAATGAGAGGAAACGTTATTTTTTTTATAGATATTAGTATTTAAAAGCGTCCTATAAGTATCTGTAATAAAATGATTATTACATATAAATAATCTATTTTGACCTATAATGTATACCAGCATTAGACATATGTTTCAGTCTCTTGTGAAATGACCTGCTGCAATCAACATTCTGAAATCCTATCAATTCTTGAACACTAACAATTGAACTTGAAAGGCTAAGGTACAGACTGTGAAAGATGAAAAATTTATTAATGTAATAAATACTACTTTTTCAGAAGGCATAAAAATGCTTTCTCCAGAAGACACCATTTCTAAATTCTAAAAAACAGACAAAACAAAAATCTAAATACCAATGAAAGACGGTGCTTTTAACTTCTTATAATAATAAAAAGGCTCTAATTTTAGAAAAGAAAATTCTTTCCCAGACAATTTAGGAGTTAGGAGGGATGGGAGATGGGTATTAGACACAGAAGAATGGTTACCAAAAATTAAGTGTTTAAATAGATACTGAAAAGGAACATGAGGATATATAAAACTTAAAATGAACCAAAAGTAAAGACAAAGAAACAATCTGGTATTCCCTATATTTTTACACTCCTTTCCCAAATCCCCCCTCCTCTCTTTAAAACATACATTCCCCACAAAACATACCGTTATCTCCATATTCAAGTCTAACGGCTAAACCAAGAAGCCAGTCAATTGCTTCTTGCCGATATTGAATCTTGAAAGGACAGCTAACATCTGTGAGATACTGTTGAGAGAAAAAAGAAAATTACTTTCATTATTGCTATAAAGTCACAGAATCAAAAAATGATAAAATTAAAAGATACCTTAGTTTGGATCTCAAAGAATTTCTCATAACATTTAAGTGTACCACCTTAAGTGAAGTATTTCCATCATGCTTTTTGAAATTTTTCTTTTGCAGATTCCAGATTTAGAACAACTTCCTCATTGAATAGATAAAAAAATTGAGGTTAACACTTGCCAACATCTGGGACCTGAATCTAAACTTTCTGATTCCAGGTCTCAATACACATAGAGCAATTAAATAAAAAGGACTCTAAAAAGAAGAACATAAAAATAAAGCAAGAGATAGAATTTTTAGTTTGAGGAAATCTTCTGGAAGAAGCAAGGAGAAATAGCAAAAGATAAAAGAAGCTAAGATGTATGAATTAATATGTTGCTATTTAGACAAGAGAGCTCCAGAAAGATAGAAAAAAATGCAAAGAATGTAGTGTTTTTAAAACCACTGGAAATAAATTTCTTAGATTTCATTAAACATAGAAGAAACAAAATGGAAGAGATTGGAGATTAAAAATGGCGGCAGAGTAAGTGTATGCTTCACGGACATGCTCCCAGGAACAAACTGGTATTACAACTAAAATACTGAAAAACTTCCTGAATAATCTACGGAAAACTCGCAGGAGAACCCCGACACCCGAGACACGGCAAGTGGAGACAGCATAGAGACTGGTAGGAGGGATGGAGGTGCGAAAGGGCTGGCTGGGCGCCCAGAGAACTGCATCTGAAGTCCCGGAGAGATATCTCAGCTGTGGGGGGTTGCCACTGAGAACTCTGGGGTCCAATCCCTAAGCTGCCTGCCCCCCCCCCCCCAAGCAGAGAACACCAAAACTGAGGAGGGCACCCACATAACATCTGGCTGTGAAAAGCAGCAGGGCGCTGTCTGCCAGAGAGTAACAGCTGAAAATTTAGGCACCCTCTTAAAGGGCCAACGCACAAAATTCCCTGTGTGGCCACCCACCTTGTGCTCCGGCAGAGGGAGGGTGAAGTGGACTGGATCTGTGAGAGCAGAAGCCAGGACTGGGAACTGGGGATAGAGCTCAAAAGGCAGACATCCCATATCACTCAATCAGAAAACCAAAAAGAAAAAACAGGAGGAAAGCTTAAGTGTGTGCTGTGGAACATCGTGAAACTTAACAATATAAGAACAGCAAATGTGCCAGAAGAGGCAGAACGGGAGAAAGGCATAGAGGAGGTGTTTTGAAAGAAATAATGGCAGAAAACTTCCCTAACCTGGTAAAGACAAAAGGCACAAGTTCAGGAGGCACAGAGAACCCCAAACAAGAACTCAAATAGGCCCACGCCCAGACACATCATAATTAAAATGCCAAAAATTAAAGACAGAGAGAATCTTAAAAGTAGCAAGAGAAAATTGTTACCTATAAAGGAGTTCCATAAGGCTGACACCAGAAATTTCTCATCAGAAACTCTATAGGCCAGAAGGGAATGGCATGAAGTACTCATTAGCCAGACTCATCAAGAAACAAAGAGAGAGGACCCAAATAAATAAAATCAGAAACGAAAGTGGAGGAGTAACCACTGACACCACAGAAACATAAAGGATTATAAGAAAATTTTATGAACAACAAGCTGGACAATGTGGGAAAAAATGGACAAATTCCTAGGAAAATACAATCTCCCAAAACTGAAACAGGAAAAATGAAAAAACCTGAATAGGCCAATAACAACTGATGAAATAGAAGCAGTTATTATAATACTCCCACCAAACAAAAGCCCAGGTCCGGATGGCTTCACAGGGGAGTTCTACCAAACATTCAAGGAAGAACTAACACCTACACTCCTCAAACTATTTCAGAAAATCCAAGAGAAAGGAACACTTCCAAACTCTTCTTATGAGGCCAGCATTATCCTAATTCCCTACCAGATAAAGATACTACAAAGAAAGAGAATTACAGGCCAATATCCCTGATGAACATAGATGCTAAAATCCTCAACAAAATATTAGAAAACTGTATCCAGCAATATATTAAAAAGATCATACACCATAATCAAGTGGGATTTATTTCAGGGATGCAAGGCTGGTACAATATTCGCAAATCAATAAACGTGATACATCACAAAAACAAACTGAAAGACAAAAATCACATGATCATATCAACAGACGCAGAAAAGGCATTCAGCAAAATCCAACATCCATTTTTGATAAAAACTCTCAGCAAAGTGGGAATAGAGGGAGCATATCTCAACATGATAAAGGCCATCTATGACAAACCTACAGCCAACATCATACTTAATGGGCAAAAACTAAAACCATTTCCTGTAAGAACAGGAACAAGATAGGGATGCCCACTTTCACCCCACCTGCTCAACATGCTAGCCATAGCGATCACAAGAAGAAATAAAAGGCATCCAAATTGGAAAAGAAGTAAAATTGTCATTATTCGCAGATGACATGATATTGTACATAGAAAACCCTAAAGACTCCATAAAAAAACTACTAGACTTAATAATGAATTCGTGAATGCTTACTTTAAACAGCTTGATGGAGAAAATTGTGGCTAAAAAATTCACATTTATGGCCACTTTGCTTTGGCCCAGGAAAATCCCCAGGAAGGCTGCTTTTTTATTCTTTTAAATCTTTTTTAAAAAAAATATATTCTTATTGATTTCAGAGAGGAAGGTAGAGGAAGAGAGGTAGAAACATCAATGAGAGAGAATCATTGATTGGCTGCCTTCTGCACTCCCCACACTGGGGATTGAGCCCACAACCCAGGCAGGTGTCCTTGACCAGAATCGAACCCAAGACCCTTCAGTCCTCAGGCTGATGCTCTCTATGCACTGAGCCAAACCAGCTAGAGCCAGAAATTTTTTATATAGTAGTCCCCCATTATCTGCAGGGAC